CCTTCTTTGAATTTTTCAACTTCATTTTTTCAGTTATAGTGATTTAAAGCTATTGCAAACCAGGTGACAACAGAATCAGCTTCATGTTATACATTAACATAACGTAAGAAATGTTACAAAAACTACCCATGTGCATACCCACTGACCATGCCAAACTAAAACCATTCAGAATAAAGATGGCTAATCAGTGTCGAAAAGGGATACAAAGTATGCAAGAATCTCAGCCCACTATGACATTTAGGTATTGTGACTAAAAAAATAGTCACTAAAACTTACCTATTTTCTGATTTTTTCCTAAAATCTATGTAGAATTTGGTATACTCAATACAGTTGCATTTGATGCAACGCTAAAAAAAAAAAAAACAAAAAACCAAACCACTTCTTTTTCATATTCTGCTCTCTGGGACATAAACTGCAGCAATGAAGAGCAGCAACAGGAGTATTATTCAAGGGGCAGGCACACACACTGGACATTATTTGTCTAGCACTCAGTTGCTTGTAGGTGAAAATTTGCTTTCAACAGCCAACAAGTTTAGGAAAAGAATTAAAGAATACTCACAGCTTTGGTTTGGCAAGCACGGGCGGTGGCTCCTTAGTGGGTGAAAGCAAGCCAGCTGGAGAGGGGGTGGGTTTATCACTGTTTGGTTTGCTGTTAATCATTCCATTTACTCCATGAATGGGATGGATACCATTTGTTTTCTCCTCAGAGGCATCATGCTGTAACTGAAGGGCTGTCACACCAGATCTCAGTTCAGAGTTGTTTGCCTGGTGGGTCTCTGTGTGTTTCTTAGGAGGAAGCTCAAGGGAGCTAATTTCAACCGGAGGAAGTGGTGGGAAATGGTGGAAATCATCACTGGTGGATTCTCTTGTTAATGATTCATGGCTAGAGTTTTCTGAGTTGGCTAAAACAAATCAAAAAGAAAGTCTCTCCAACACCTTACACGTGAAGTACAGGACACAGGCATGCTGTACTTTCAGTTCATTAAATGTAAGACCACTTTGTTTCTATGCAGTAACTATAGCAAATAGATATTGTTCTAGAGCTCTCGTTGATAATTTACGCCAAATTAGATGCCTCGCTGGTTATTAATTTTCTAACTTTCCTTGCGCCTCAAAAGCAAAGAAAGAACTCTATGCACACCTCTAAATATGATCTAGAAATAAAGCTACTAATTGAGAGGGTTAAGCACTATTGGGCAACAAGAGCTGAATCACCACTTCCCTCTTCCTGGAACCTCATGATCTTTTAAGAATAAATCACTTGCAAATGCTGAAAGATGTACAAAGACATGGCATGCTTGCAATGGCAGCTGGGTTAGTGCATGCAGCAATAACGTATTAAAAACCTAAACATTCCATGTATTTTACTTTACAAAAAGCATATGCTACCCTTGGTAGCACAATTTCATCTGTTTTCATTTTGCCTCTGCTGCCATCTAGCCCCAGACTCCTTATGCCTAAAAATATGCCAAGGCTTGTGACAGCCACATTTAAAAATGTATTTTGCTTAAAAAAAAAAAACTAAGAAATGAGCCAATAAATGCATTCAGTTTGCTTTCAGTGATACAAACCATCTGAAGTTGGCAGTTTGATTTATATATGTTGATATAAATATTGTCAGGTAGCTGTCTACCATTTTACAAATGATACAAGTAAGACAGAGATATGAGACTACCCTAGGATGATAGCATGCATCAACAGTAGCACTGGAAAGCCAGGCTTTTAGCTCTCTAATTGCTTGACTGCAATAGAATTCAATTAAGGTTTCCTGAGATGCTTATTTCTTGAGTAACAACTCTAGGATAGATATATTTCAATAAACACAAGTAAGTAAAATCAGTCTCAGCAATTTCTCAAAGTTTTCTACTTATTTTCCCAAATTACTGTGTAAGTCCGTCCATCCGTTCGTCCTTCCTCCCTCCTTTCTTTCTTTCTTTCTTTCTCTTTTTTCATGGATGCAGTGTTTTATCATCAATCTTACTAGCAATATACAAGCTGCTTGAGGAATACCTTTTATTTGCTATTTTATATTTTCCACATGTTCTTTTTGGAAGAGACCTATCCTTGACGTCTGCAATGCTCTACAAGGAAACAACGTCAGCTCAACTGTTAATGCCTGCGAGGGCACTTGGCGTCTCTCAGTTAGGAGCTGGACTTTTGAAAGAGATTTAGAAGGACCCATTATAGTTTCTTTTCATGCCATTTAAAAACAAACAAAATTACATTCTCCCACCCAACAGCAACAATTTTTATATTCAGATGATATCAGTCAGAGGCAAGGGAAGTGTGTAAAGAGTTCAGGACTGAAAAGGAAATCCACCAGAGGGGTCACCATCTTAGAGTAGCTCTTTTGCACAGCAAGCAGATGCATATTGTCTCAGGTATTGGGTAAATTAATTATTTAAGGTCTGTGATACAAACACCTCCTCTCCTTCATCACATACCTGAACAGACATTCAGTTGTGCACTACTCGTTGCTGTCCCATGGTCATTTGTTGCTGTGCATGTGAAAACTCCTGAATCTTCAGGAAATGTTTCTGCAATTACAAGGGTACATATCTCTTCTGCAAATAAACAGAAAAATAAATGGCATCATAAAGTATTCGAAGTACCATGAAGGCTTCGCATTGCATGTTAGTAGAACAGCATAAAATGTTCCAGAGACAAAACAATGTCAGGAAAACTGTAAAAACTTCCATAGGATATATCTATAAAGAAAATCATTCTTGTATGTGAACCTTACAGATTTACTCAACTCAGTTTTCAAAAGGATCCTCCGAAGCCTCACTTTACACACACAACAGCAACAGTCCTATGCAGGACTAGTACAGACACATACAAATCAATTTATCAGTGTCCACTTATCACTGATACTTCCGAGCTCCTCTGGAATCTGTGTAAATAACATGAGCTTATGAATGTCTGTTTAAAAGAAACCCAATAAAAAGAACTACATACAGCGAAATAAAGTCTGAAACAGTATATTATTTTTATAAAATTGTAGCTAAAGTAAAAAATTCTAAAAAGTGTTGATTTTTTTTCTTTCAGTTCTAACAGTATACTGTTCTGAACTCATGGCTCTTACAGTTTAACTAACATAAACATTTCCTAGTAGTTTTCTTTTTCTTTCATAATTTTCATTGAGAAATGGTGAACCAGAATTTCATTTAGTTTAAAAAAATAGCAATTTTTTCACTTTTAAATGACAATGCATCCAAGAACTTTCTGTGCTGGAGACAGGCTAAAAATGAATGACGAATAAAGATTTGGCACAGAGTTGTTTTTCAGACAGCAGAACACGCTTTTTTTGGCAACACAGAACAGTGATTCTGTGTAGCTGCAAGAGGCATGTCTGGTAGTACTGTAGCACGTTGGATCTTATCTGACCCAGATGAAGATTAATGACTCATGAAAGGTCTTATCAGGAAAGTAATGGGTAACACACGCTAGTTTTTGGACTACTGAGATCAGTTTTTTCAGAGTCTTGGTGTGTCATAAGCAGCTTTAAGCTGTGCTGTTGAATACATATGCATCCTCCCTCTGGGGATGCAATTTGATACACAGAGCACAATAGTTTCCAAGTAAATGAGCAGCAGAATTCTGAAAGCTGGGTATTTCAGGACTGCAAATGGAAACCATTCCCGCCATGCTGAGAACTATTGTCTGAGGGAGGGCAAAGGTACTAGCAAATATAGCAGGCAGCAGAATTGCTATTTTACAAACAGCACAGCTAATTAATACATGTTCTTTCAAAGTTTTATATCCTCACTATATCATTATTTTTCTTTCTGTTGTGCTGAGAAAAATCAGACGATTTGAAGTAAATAATGTCTGTTCTACTTCCCAGCAATCATCAGCTGACAGATAATTTCATCACAAAAATGTGTTCCAGAAAGCAGCTCTGCAATGCTGTTCTCAGGGCCTTAAAACATATTTAACACTTGACTAAATGAATACAAAAGCATTCTGTTCACTGAAACATGTAAAATGCTTAGGCATGCAAGTACTTGACTATTTTTCAGTTATTTAGCAGGAAAGATTACATTTTACAGGGTAATCCTTTCTCTTTATGGCTCATGAATCCATTAGGAAGAACTAATCTTTTCTGAGGCAAACCCCAGAAAACTGTTGCAATTTTTAAAATTCTGTCACTGATTGTGTGTTTATCTCTGGAATGTTTCTACATATCACTGACTAAAGGTAAAGCATTTCTAAGACTTGCAGCTTTAATCTCCAAATGTGATCATTAGCCTCCTCCACTGTCATGCAAACTGTTCTGGGAAACACGTAATGCTTTATTATTATTATTATTATTTTTAATGAAACCCATAATTCTCTGGTAGGATATTAGCCATCAGTGTCATCAAAGACAATAGTAGGCCTGTAAGATTTTTGTCTTCTCTAAACAAATTGCAACTGTCTTATTCTATCCAACCTTCAGTTTCAGTTCAGTTGCTAGCTTCAGTTTGTCAAGTGGTTCTAGGAATCAGTTTTGTAACCAGTTGGGAAAACAAAGTGTAGCTGATTTGTCATAGACCAGATTTTTTTGTTGTTGTTGTTTTAGTTGCTCAAGGTGGCTGAAATCTAGCCAGTTTGGGTACCAACAAATAGGAATAGTGCCATGGTAGCATGGACTTTAGCTCCTAAATGTCTGGCATTGAGAAAAAACAAAAGCCAATGTCAGGATCAAAGAGCAGTTCATGCTAAAACTTACGCTACAGCAGTTACAATGCTATAATGCTAAAGCAGTTATAGATGCTCAAGTCAGCTAAGTTGAAATATATGCCTAGGAACACACCTGTGATGACTAATGCACCCCAACAGCTTTGTTTAAGAGAAGGCTGAGAGTTGATCTTATCAATGTGTAGAAATACCTTACGGGAGGATGTCAAGAGGAGAGGGCCAGACTCTTTTCAGCGGTGACCGACTATAGGACAAGAGGCAACGGCTACAAATTGAAACACAGAAGTTCCACCTGAATTTGAGGGAAAGCTTCTTGACTGTGAGGGTGACAGAGCACTGGAACAGGTTGCTCAGGCTGGTTGTGAAGTCTCCTTCTCTGGAGATATTCAGCACCCACATGGACACAGCCCTGTGCAACATGTTCTAGCTGACCCTGCTTGTGCACAGGGGGTAGACTAGATGATCTCCAATGGTGCCCTGCAACCTTACTCATTGTGTGCTGTTGTGTTTTATATATTTGCAATTGAAGACACAACTAGCAATCATTTCAAAGTCACATAGTCCAAAAAAAGATCAGAGGTTTGCTTTGAATTTAGAAGCATCAACAATCGGAGCAGTCAAATTTAAAATGGGGTCATAGACAGGACCAGAATTTGGCAGAATACAATTGAAAATTTAAGCAGTGGCACAGATGTTGATCAGATCTTCTTTAATGAAAGATAATTTCAGTTTATTTAAGGCTTTTCTCTTTGTTTAGAATCCTGAGTCATCCAAAATTTTCAGAGTGCAGAGTCTTCAAACTTTTCCTCCTTGCACAGTAGTGAAAGCAGTAGCCAGACTCTTAGTCATAATTCTTCTGTTTGCACAAGAGCTGAACTAGCCTAAGGATCCAACGTACATAGGGATCCAACGAAGTTTCTGTGTTTTGAAGCTATCAGCTTGAAGCATCAGCTCTCAGAAAGCTGATATTCTTAATGAGTAGGGAGGAAAGGAGCATTTCTATGACATTTGTCATGCATTTTCAGTTTCTAATGTTATGTAGAAATATGTGAGAATTTTCAAGGAGTTACTGGAGATGGAACCTTGGGTCATAGCAGCCAGACAGGGAACCAAGAAAGCACAATCCAAGAGAAGTGATGACTATCTTGAAATGTTTTTGGTCAACATACGCAGTATTGTGCTTAGAAAAAAATATATTTAGCAATTCCCTGGCAATGTAAGAAAAATTACTTCATATAGTTTTCCTCTTACATGCCATCAGACAATTGTTTTAATGTAATTCAATACAGTTTGTGGCTGCCTCCAGACAGCTGAGTAATGGTCAAAGTATCAACAGCTGGCAAATCTCTCCATGGGATTTTTCATTCTCAGGCAGCCTGTTCTTTGAAGGATCCAATCAGTATAAAGTCAAAATGTCAAAGAAAGAAGTACAGAGCAGGTAATTTGACAAACTGTGATGTTGGCTTTAAGTAATCTGACTAGCTATTAATTCACAAAGCAGTCTGGAGAGATTTGTGATGCTAGTTGATTTCTGTCTAGACAGAAAGAGGAGTGTAAAACACATTAGGGCAAACAGAATATCAGAATATACCAAAAAGAAAAAAAAAAAGTAAAAAGAAAATCATTTTGCTTCATAATTTCTTACCTGTGTTAGCTATTTTTTTTTAATCATTAAGACTGACTTAACAAAGGATAACCAGTATTCCTGGACACTGTAAAGCACTTACTGGCAACTGAACTTCTGTTGACAAACAGCAATTAAAGCCCTTCTATTACTTGTTACAACTTATGCAAAATTCCATGGGAGATGTACAATTGGGAAAAATTTTAGCAATTACATCCATCTCAGAATTCTGAATACTTCTCTAGCACAGGCATGTTGGTTTCCTTTCTGCATCCCTGCACATTCTCATCATCTGCACTGAGCAGCAGCCGCTTGTTTGCTGATGAGCAATTTCCTTTGCAGGTTTTGTTTTGTCTGGCTTCTTAGATCCTGCGTTGCCTCATAAACCAGTGCCGTACCTATGTCTTTCTGCAGCCCACCCGGCCTCTTACTGTAAAAAACTCTAAATTCCTTAATGAAATCCTAAGCAATAGGATTACTTATTTCTGTTATTGTCAGTACTAGTACTAACAAAAAAAACTCAGCTTGCAATTTATGTCAAAAGGAAATATGCATCTTTTGCCCACACTTCAGTAATTTATATGCTCTTTATATGCACGTCGTTGATTTTAGTTAAGAGCAAGACACACTGTACCTTACTGAACAGAAACTATCATAACAGAAAAAGAAAGCGTTTATCAGTGATACACATACAAATCTTACAGGGACAGTACTTAGTGAATTCAAGGAGAACAAAACCACAAACTGGAACTTTTTCACTGGTTTTAGATATCAGGAAGGGGCTTATTAAAATATAACAGAATTACAACCATGAAAAAGGGGAGAAACAGAAAAAAAAGACTTGTAGATGGATAAAGAACATTTTTTGCTTGCTGAAATCTAGGAATTTTACCTTGTGAATATACTATAAAAACCCAAAGCACCCATTTTTCTTGGAATCATCTTTTGCACACATTTGTCAAGCTAAACTGGAAAAAAAAAGGCATTTAGTATTTGGGTGTTACGAAACTATTACGAGCACAATTTGTGTGATGGAATTTTGTGGGATTTTTTTTCTCATTAGCTTGCAAAATGCTTGTATTCTGTGAAGTAACTCTGCTTCAAAGTTTAGACTGTAGGGCTCTCCTTGCTCGTCTGAATGGAATTTACTGTTTAACTAATAAAGGAATTGATGTAAAGCACAGTGTAAAGTATGCAGACTGTGATAAAGAAACATTGTCTTTAAGGGAGTTTCATATTACCAATGCTCAGCAGAAACATTGTTCTATTTATGGCTTCAATGCAAACACAAAGAGCTAGTGAATCAAAAGATTATTTTTTCATATGATTCTTACCAGGTTCAGTTGCAGATCGTGGCTCTGCATATCACATCACGAGGAAAAAAATAAGAAAAAAGAAAAAAAGGTGTTAGAGGTTGCATTAGGAAGCAGCTCCATATTAGATGAACATGAAGTACTGTAGACAAGTACAGAATCTGTGCAGACATATTAAAAAATAAGGATGACTGAAATTGTGCCTTGGTAGCAGTAGTTCTATCATTACTCTTAACCATTGAAACCACTGAAATGCAAGGAAGAGAGGAGTCAGCCAAAACTCAATCCTGACAGACTAACTTTATGATTTTCCCCCACATTGTCCCAAATGAAAAGTAGCTGCTTTGGATTATTGTCTTACTTTTTTGGAGAATTCGGAAGTCTGGAGAATCTTGAATTTGTGTACCCTGGCGAAACCACTTGACATGAATAGGAGGGGCTCCTCTGACCCTGCATTCCAACACCACAACTTGCCCCTCAGATGCCGTGGAGTTTTGTAGCTCCTGAAACACACAACCATTACACTTCAAATGAACCAGAGGCACCCAATATTCACTAATATACTCTTTCCTTCCCTTTCTTTTATTGTGTCATTGTATTTTTGCAGTAGTCATTTTCTATGAGCAGTATTTTCACTCTCATTACACTGAATATATCAGCTGTATAATTAAGACCAAACAAAGATACTGTTTTCAAATATATTTTCATATGACTACAGATTGAAAACATGTAGAAGTACTCAGTTCCTCAGAACATGACAAGCAGACAGTTATGGTTTGATCTTTGAGCCTTCGTTCATCTTCTGCAAGATGGAATTAAAATTTGGAGCATACAGCTGACTATGTTTTGATCGAGTCAGTTGTGAGAGAGCGGCTGTGCTGCCTCATGTCATCCTCCAGAATGCAGAGTTGTCTCCCTCATTTGTAACCATCCAGGCAAAATTAAACCATGGAAATACAATTAGGATATATTAGCTCATGCATGGATACCTTCTGAGACAGAATTGTGGCTGTAATAGATTCTTACACACATCTGAAGGAAAACATATACCTTGGATGAAAACCACAATGATAGAAGGGCAAGCAGAGTACTTAATTAACAGAGTAGAAAACAGACAGATACTATGTTTGTCTTTGCCATCTGAAGATTACAAAGCAAAGAGTCTTTTATATTGCATGAGCTGTCTCATTGCCTGTCCCGTTTATTACTGAGATTTTAGGCTGTGATCCAGCAAAGCACTTAAAGTTAGGTCTAAGATAAGGGTTATCCCTACTTACTATTCACAGACCTGTATTTAATCAAATATATACTTTATATATATAGATAGATATACACGGAAACCTAACAATCTTTCAGTTCTTTCCTGAAGTTGCATAGAAGAAAATTTGTTTTTGTTCATTTTTCCTATAATTAAAGCTCTTTCGATTTGCCATGTCCCAACTGGCTTAATCCAGTTAATATGAGATGTCAGAAACAATGGATATGAAGATTGGGAGGCAAGACTGGGGGTTTGAATGCTTTTTCACCAAAGTTTTTCAGCAAGGTTTGGATTCCTCTTATTTCCTACTCTTAGTAAAAGGTTGTCAGCCTCCCTACCTTGTAGCAACCCCTCTCTCTAACGCCCTGCACCTCTGCTGTCCACACTGCTGCGATGCCTTCGCTGCCGTTGCAGCAGGGCAGGATTGGAGGCATGGAAACAGGTCTTTCTTGCCACGAGGAAGGGATGCGCTCAAGCCAAACTGCAAAGCTCTGGAGAACAGAGCTCACTTTTCTTACTATCTCCTTTAGGTAAAACTGTTTGTTGCTTCACATCAACTTTTAGTAAAATTGTTATTCTGAAATAATAACCAGAAATACTTTGTTTTCTTCTTTGATGTACAATAAACAGTGACTAAGTAACAGACCCTGCTATGGAAATCTTTGTGTGCACAATACAGATTAGAATTTTGCTGAAAGCTGTATCTTAGAGAACAGGGAGGTAGGCTTTTTCGGTCTTACATTGGTTTGCCTAACTCACAAATGTTATGCTTAGTTCGGGATGAATGTGCAGATAAACATTAAATTCAATAAGTTAAAAATTACTGAATAAAAATATCGTTTGCAGCAATTCAGCGCCTTACATTTTAAAAGACATCCCAATAAGAAATACCTGCACTGCATTTTTAACAAATGTACCTGGGTGGATTTGTTCCAAAACCAAATTAAAAATCAAATATCCATTATTTGTTCTTTTAGGAGGTGAAATCATGGAAAGAAAGACTATCATGATAATGATGCTTGACTGGTGCCTACCTAGTTTCATTTTGCAAAGTTTTCTCAATGGATGACAGCAATGGAAGCAAGATAACATTTGCTGATTATTCATGCAAGTTTTCCAACTATTTGGAGAGGATAGAAGGTATGAGTGATTTTACTGTTGCAATGCAAACTATTTTCTTAGTCAACTGTTTGTATTCAGACTGAAGCAGACCTTTATATTGAAACTGTAAAACGTTCAATATGATCAAAAATTCCTGCATTAGAATATATCATTTTGATATTTCTTTTTGGAAAGGTATGACATAAAAATCATGATGACTGAAACAGACCTTTGTAAAAACAGGTGCAGAATAGACAGGCTTGGATCCATCTAGACGGTGGAGATGCGAAGTAGGGCTTTGGACCTGGAAAGCAATGCAATAATTCTATGAAAATAAACTGCAACCGGTTTATTGGTTGGATTAATAATATGATCTGCACAATCTATGCAATGATGGAAATTTGAAAATGTACAGTCTCATCACGGCATTCTCATTACAGCACACTTGTTGAGTGACATCACTACTTCAGATCTATAACATTTCTGAAATTGAAATGCAAGTTTTAAGGGCTTCTATACTCCCCCTGAAAACTTTGTGCCCAGCTGGTGTTGCCTTCGAGTATTTTGTGTTTAAATCCTGTGAATATCGTTCAAATAAGCGCACCTTTGCATCTTCTGTTACTACATCCCTTATACTGATAAAATGAAAAATAAAAGTTTATCAAGGTTAACTAAAAGCAGGGGAAAATAAGTTTTTACAGTGTAACAGAGATCTTTATTTTATTTATATTTTATGAATTATATACAACTCCATGCAAGTCATCCACAGAGCCTGTAAAACTTGCTATAATCTCATGAACATTGATTTTCTACATTTAACTTCAACGCAGTAAAATTTAACTTCTCTAAAAGGCCGAGAGATGATAGTAATATGATTCAAACAGCAAAAGATGATAAAATTAAAAGCTTTGTTGGTAAAAACATGTCATTAATATTGTAGGCATTCTTATTATATTCTTTTGGAATTCTACTGAGTCATTATCAAGTTATATCCTATGCTGTTCTCAATATCACCAGAACTGCCACTTGCTCACATGCTGCAGTGATAACACTGTGTAAAATCCTTACCTTTATTTACTTTCATGTTCCATTCATTTTTTTTACTGTAACTCCTAATATAATAAAAAGTTCAGTACCACACTTCCACAAAATAAAAGACTTAAAAAAAAAAAAACATAATTTTGAAATACAATTTTAAATACTAAGTGAAAAAATGGTGTATGAATACCTGCTGATTAGGCACAGAGATAGGCTGAATAACAGCAGTGGTGACTCCTGACTTTGGTGTTGAAGATCCTATTGTTAAGGAAACGGAGGTGGTTTTCTTTTGGGCCCTGAGAAAAAAAAACAAAAAACAAAAAACAAATACTTTTCAATACCTGAAATGAGACTGTGTAAGTTTGTAACAAATACGCACTGGCTTGAATCTACTGCCTTTTCAATAACTTATTTAAACTGGTGTTGATAGTGATCTCGTATTTGTTTGACGATCTTAGACTTTTATTTTGGACAGAAGGCAAATATCAGCTGAAAATATCAGCATTGTAGGAAGTTTGAATAAAACGTGGTCTTTGGATAATTTACATTTTAATACTATAATAAAAAGTACTTTTTTTAAAGACACAAACTGAAATTTTGTTTCTTTAATTGTAGGCGTCTGTCTTTTTTTTTTTTTTTTTAAGGAATATGTCTGGGTGGTTGAAAATTGAGGACTGGATTAAATAAAAGTAATTCCTAAACATGAGAAGTCTGTATCAACAAAAATGTTGTCAGAGCACGGCCAGACTTCCTAAACAGAATAAGCACATTAATAAAATTCACAGTCATAACACAAAACATTTGTATCACATTAGTGAAGGGGAAAAGCCAAGGACAAGACACACACATACATATTCTGTCCAGATGCTTATTCAGATCCAAAACTACCAAAGATTTTCTGGGGTCCCTTATTAAGGACATTTGCATAGTATGTTTACATAGCACTGGTTCTACTCGGTACACTTACTGTGGCATAGCTCCAGATTTTGATTTGAAAATTAAACTCTCACTCTCGGAATCTGTGGAAGTGGCACCTGCAAAAGAAAGAACGTTCAGTTCTCCTGTCCTTTTACTGATTTCTTCTATGTTTAAATTTCAAAGAATAATAAAAGCTTTGCTGCTTTCGCATTTCACTTGAGCTGACTTGCAGGAGGCACCTTTAATAAAAACACTGTAACACAAGGCTGAGAATTCTCTATAATAAACTATTGCAGCTCTTCTTCCCCCATTAAACTCTTTGTAGACCATCACAGGCATCACAACCATGCCAATTTAATCACAAACTGTTGTCCCTAGGTTCTTAGCTGCCCTCCCTCATACTGAAACAAATACTACTGCCACTGTACTGTAAATCTGTTTTTTTTTACTTTAATATTAAAGGTTTTAAAAAACAATTTTAGTATAGGGGAGGTCAGTGAACTAATTGAAGGTAGCACGTGGTGTAACAGAAAAAAAGCTAACAAAATACTAAGTGCTAAGACACATAAGGGAATTTTGCCAGAGGCTGTTTAAAGTAGGAATCATCAAGCATTTATACTACATAATATACCTTGCTTTCTGAACTATCAGATGGTGATATTAATTTAAGCACTGGTTTTATCTTACACAGTGGCCCTGTATGTGCTTGGGTGTGAATGAAATTCCTAAAGTGGAATCAGTTGGGTCAGTGTGATTCTGAAGGTGATTTTTTTTTCCTTTCGAAGAGAATAATGAACTAATAAATAACGTTATCATAAACCTGCACAAAAAGACAAATAACTTTACTCTCCTTTCAGCTAAGCAGATATATGGCATATTCACAGGTAACTTTATCCTTAGTTAAGAGCAACTCAGTATAACAAGTCATCTGCAGACTAAACTCATTACCCACTATCTCCACAGTTCAGACTATTGACATTGAACTATACATAATATTTACATAGTGGTGTTTCCTAGCAGTGGAAGTTTTGATATAAAGTGTTTTGGAAATACCCTGAACTCACTTAAAGGAAAAAAAAAAAGTACTAAAGTATTTATTCCCATTGTCTTAATGGGAATAGCTATACCAGTATAACGAAAATTGTTATTGGCACTACCAGTCAGTTCTTTGATTTATAGACACTAGCTGACCATAGCACCTTTTTTTACCTACCTTCAATGAATATTTCAGCAGAGGTGCTATCTGAACCAATGGAATTTGAAGCCAGACAAGTATAGCGCCCAGTATCGTCTTCAAAGGCTTCTGCTATAATTAGTGAATGAAGTCCTCCACTTCCAGAATGGATCTGGATGTCAGGGGAATTCTGGAGCTCTTTTCCTTCACAGAACCATCTGTAGCCCACACACATTTAAAAAGACACACACACACGCACACACAAAAAGTAAAAACATAATGGGTAATTAAAATTAAATCCCCTGTCCTTCTTGGTGCAATTAATGCTTTCTACATGTTTATCTACTTGCTTGCTTTAACTACAGTCAACCTCATGTCTATTTAACCTGTTGCTTCTTTCCTCCAAGTGTCACACTCTTAGAATGTTTGGTTTTTGAAGTACCATTTATTTTCTATTTCTATTTCATTTTTTTTTCTATTTTTCCATTTTTTTTATTTTTTCTATTTCATTTTTCAGTGTTTCATATCTTCTTTCCATTTTTTTGATTCTCTTCTATCAGCCTGTCCTATTCCCATAAGAAAAAATTATGGAATAGCTTATGTCACACAGCCCAACAAGTATTGGCAGTAGGTTTTTATTTTATTTTATTTTGCTTTATATTTTATTTTATTTTTCCCCATGGCCACTATACAATTCTGTGTGTTTGGCAGCTCAGTGAATCACAAAAGTAAAGCAAGGAAGAACCTTCCTTCTACCCTCAAACTTCCCCTGTCTCCTGAAAACTAATTCTGCCAGATCTTTCCCAGTGTCATTCCCATTCCAACAGCCTCAACTCACTCTGACCTCTACCACTCTCCCTTGCCATCCCTCACTCCATGACCCTCAGCTGGACTCTTTTACTGACCTCAGCTCTCTTAGTGCCCTCCTTTCCTTCCAAACCTACTCTGCCAGCACCACAAAAACCAAACCTTTCTGTAATGAGCGTAAAGACAAAATGCCTAATATTCAACAGCAAGCTTGGTAAATGCACTTTCATTTACACTTACACACAATTTTAGTTCCCCAAGATAGTAAGGACCTTTATAAAATAAATAACTTCATTGAGACTTTACCTCAAGTTACAAGGCACTAAAAATCTTTTTAAGGACATAGAATCTACCACCAAAACACCTGATGATATTATTTATTATTATTGACTCTGTACATACTTCTGCGAGAAATGTTGGTGTTACAGATGTTTTGCTCTTCTGCCAGTCTCCAGAGAACAAAATCAGCACAGGGCGTTACAGATCCCCGACCTGTGAGAGCAGATGGGGTGCCCTGGAGCAGCAGCGCAGGCGCCCCCACAGCAACGGCTCCCCCTCTCCTGCCTTTCCTGCAAACTAAGAACATGCAGCTAGCACATAAAAAAAAGTTACAGAACTTTTTTTTTTTTTCCGGCAATATCAGATTGCAGAACCTGAAAATTTGTGTTTATTGCAGAATGCAGAGTAAGAAATACAACAGATTTACACGAGACATTTTTTCTGAATAATACTCATAACTGTGGACAAGTCCTCTGTGCTTCTGAAGAGCAGAGCTGCTATTTCTGAAAGCTACAAGATGTTGAAAGTGGCATTAAAACCATATACAGTTCTCTTCTGTAATTAAAACACTAAAAAGTTCCTTTTCTGTGTTCTATTGAGCCCAGAAAATGCACATAGAAAGTATCATTTTTTTAAAGGAACTAATAAACTTCCCTTTGTTTACTCAGGAGACCCCTCAGGCCTACTTTTACAACCAGTGGGCTCACAGACAAATTTATTCTTGTCAGTTTAGCTGCCAAAATTAACATTTCTGTTCCTCCTCTTGGCCTCCCCTCTGCTTGTCACAACTCCTCCCGTCTCCTCGTGCAAAGATCTCTGCTGTTGTTTCTCCTGATCAGACCCTCAGCCCCAAACTCTGTGCAGTCTTTCCGAAGTTCTATTTTAAACAATATCTGTGAGAGGTTAATTCAACTTCTATACAGTCACGTACAAAAGCCCAGGATAGGGGCAATAGCCTCCTGCGAGGGAAAACCTCTCCTCCATACCTAATTATTTTCTGAGCTAGATCCCATCTTAGTTTCGTGAGTGTTGTACTGGTTTCTACTGTCTCCCAAATTCCATGTTCACCAAGTAGTTGAGAATTTATGATAAGCATGTAATTATAAAGCAGAAAGTTTTGTCAGATAATGTTTAATAAAGAAGCTGCTTTCTTGGGAGGGCAAGCCTTATGCTGTTGCTTCATTCATGCAAGTACCCAGCTCGCCTCAGGTGACATCGGTGGGAACTATTCCTCAGTGCTCGCTGGGGTTGAGAATCACTGCATGTTTGGTAAATGACTGATTCACCACTGAAAACAAGTCCTGACCTGCTGCATCAGACACTGTCTGCCAGGGAGAGAAAACACATTAGCGAGCAATTCAATACAAAATTATCTCAACCATCATTAGTGTGATATCTGATGAATGGGAAGCAGGCTTCATGTTTGACTGCATGGCTTATTGCAGAAAGGAGAATTCACCAGCCACACCAGGCAACAGCAAGGTTTTTTGAAATGAAGAATAGAAACAAAGAAGAGCTATATTCTCTTTTGCTTTCCAATTGCTTTTCTGTTTTATTCTTGTTCAGCTACTTGTTGACAGAAAGTGAGAAGCAATTTATGTGAATTTTGTTTGAAGATTAAATAAAGATTACAGTGAATGAGAAAATACCCAACAGAAATACTTCTCTTGCAATTAACTTGCTAGTTTTCCAGTTTGGTTCACCAGAGTTTAGGAAGAAAAAAGTATCTGACAGCTAATAACACTAACTGAAGTAGCTGCTGCCTGAAGAAAGACAAAATTTCAGTTTTCATCTTTTATATATTTTGGGCTATAGTAAAGAACAAGATGATAATGGATAGATTATGGTATCTAGAGGCCTCATCAGTCCTACTGCCATTACATGCGTAATACTCAAGGAACGAGGAATTTCTGCTCCTAAGGACTAAAAAGGATTGAAAGAACAATTTTTGAGGCATTCTCTCTTTCTGGAGAGAGACCACCAAAGCAAACAGCAAATCACTATCAAAGGGAGACAGGCCCATACAAACACAAAGGAGTCACGGCTAGACAGAGAAAAACAGCCGCAAAGAAAATCTGACAGGAAAATTCCAAGTTTGCGCCAACTAGGACAGCATTAACTCATGTGCAGTCTATTCCAGCCTACTGATCCTCCTGGGATAAGAGGATTACTACCCAGGTGTGAGAAGGCAATAACGCTGCTGCTTCTGGAGGGTCCAAAACCCCAAACCAAACCAAAACCAACAGACTGGAACAGTAACAAAAAATAATAATAATAATAAAAAAAACACACAAAACCGGAGCAAACGTTTTAAGAAAAAGAGAATTCTCACACAAAGATCACTGGTATGAGAGAAAAAAAAGGTGTCTGCCTCACAGGTTCCGGACACTTAATGGAAAAAAAAAAAAAAGTAACCTACTCTTTTCACTGACTCTTTGCTCTAAATTCTTGATATCATATAAAGTCCATAGATAGAAACAAAACAGGGAGAGAGACCAATAAAAGGCCTTCCAGCTGTCTGCCCATAACAGTTTATAGAACGCGAACCAAGAATCCTAGCTTGTCTTCATGGTCGTGCTAATGTTCATGCAAATTTGCAGAGAAACGGCCCCTTGAATGAGCACACAAAATGTTGTAATGATGGCAGAAGGTAGGCAAAAGATCAAAGGAATATAGATTTTATACAACTGGAATGAATGTTATTAGCTGTAATGATGGCAGAAGGTAGGCAAAAAAGATCAGATTTATACAACTGGAATGAATGTTATTAGCTATTAAAGATCTTACCAACTTTCACATCACATCGCATTTCTCAGAGCTTCGCTCCTTTCTAATCCATTCTGTGTCTTGCCTGTATTGCCACTCTACCATCCCTGGCTTTTCCCTTTCTGCAGCAAGGCTTAGCTTTCACCTGCACTTTCTTTACTGTAGGTTAAAAATAGCAATTATGTTTTGAATGGTGACTCTGAAACACAATCACTGGACTAGAAAGCCAATATTCCAAGCAAGCAAATTTTGGCACCAGCGATAGGAACAGCAGTTAAGATACTTGCTTTGTGTGCCCAACCTTCATCTCCTTTTCCTTGGGATACATTAATGTATGACAGCAAAATTTGATGAATAGACTAGAAAGGACAGCCAGGGACATCAGGTGAGAAGCAGTTTGCATACACTGATATTAAGTAGCAATTCATAATTTGCCTTTCTTCCTCACTCTTCTTTACTTCTTGACAAACCTCCATGCATGGAAACATACGAGCATGTGTCTGGGATTTTAATGACTGTGAACAAAATATAAACAGAGTTGAACACTACACTGACTGAGTGAGCACCAGGGCCTAAAGAAAAACAGTTCAAGGTTCCTTCTAATGCATAAGCCTGCTGGAACCTGTGTTTTCTGAATGTCACTAAGGAATAGAGAGGCTTTCCTTTCGGCACATTCTTAAAAGTTAATTTAAGATGGCAGCTGAAGTGAAACTTTAAGACATAGCCTAAGGGAAGTATTATAATAGGGAACTCAGACCACTACAAATAGTGCAGAGAGATAAGTTGTAAATTAAAAAGTAATTTTATCCTTAGTGGTGTTAAGTATGTCTAGCAAGAGAAGTTAAAATGAAATACTCTAACATTCTTGTACTGGCAGAGTCAGTATTTCCATCCTAACACTATATAGCTTCTACTTTGTAATTTCCCCATGCAAGTTATACAGTCCAGATGCTTACCCTAGTTGTGCATAGCTCAGTTTTTGTACAAATAATAATGCAGTATTTTTGTTTTAATTTTCATATTTGTATAGGTATTTATAAAAGAGGTACCAATAGCAACGCACACACTTTACATGTTTTTATTTTGAAAATATGGATGCTGAAAATCTAGTGCTTCCCCTGAAACTCCAGTCGAGCAGGTCCAGAAATGCCTGTAACACGCTGAAAACCACAGAAGCCATTTAATAAAAAGAGGATAGTATTACAAATGAGTCTGTTGCTTATCCATATAAGCAACTCAAACGATTTTTCATTTGGTGCAAAGTGATCTCCAAGCTCTCACTGATTTCAGTAAGGGCTTCACAAAGAGCAGAGTAAATTGCAGGATTATATACTCAGAAATCAATACCATCATCCCAGAAGAGTAT